CATCCATTTAACAGGTTCTTACCCTTTTACAGTATCTGTTGTGCAATAGGAACTATTTTATTATATTTGCAGCTCAAGTGGTTTATGGAGAGCCTGAATTGTATTCACTCAAACTATGTCTGTTCATTACTTGGCTAATAGAGAAGATGTTAAACATGGATCCAGAACTCCCACATGGACACATGGTGCCCAGAATGAGGATTTTTTTACTCTAAGGATAAAAACAAAACAAAGGTCAATGTGGTGTCTACATTAGTTGAAAAAAAGCAAGCAGATAGAAAAAAAAAGTAAAAATATTAAAACCTTGGTCAACTAAACCAACCAGCTTCTCCTAACTGCCATATATACAACACTTGGCCTCACATTCTTTTCAAGAGCACATAGAATATTTACTAAGATATACCATATTCTGAATCATAAAGCAAGCTTCAATAAACTTAAATATATTCAACTCAAAGCATGTTCTTCACCCCCAAATTAGAAATAAATAACAAATACATTTAGAAAATATTCAGAAACATCAACATAAATATCTCTCAAACAACAATAAAAAACCCAAAACAAAATCAAAAATACACTTCTAAATTAAAGTAAGCACCAAAGAGGAAATGAAAAGAGGAAATCCAGGAGCTTTTTGAACTGAATTAAAATGAAAAAAACTGCATATCAGAATTTCCCCAGACAATATTTAGAGGGAAATTTGTAGCCATAATTATCTATATTTGAAGAAAGTCCTCACATCAAGAACCTCAGTTTCCTATTTTAAAAACCAGAAAAAGTAGGGCAAATTATATTCAAATATTTCTTTTTCTTTCTTTTTTTTATTTTAGGGAAGGGTCTACAGGGTGTTCAAAGTCTCACTACTAGATCAGATTTGTAGTCATCTGCCTATATACAGCCTCCCAAGAGCTGGGATTACAGGCATGCGCCACCATGCCCAGTCTCAATTGCCGTCTCAGTGTGCCCCAGGGGTGGGACTGGCAGGGCAGGCCTGGGGATCGAATCCCTGTCCCTGCACCTGCTTGCAGGTGCTTTAATCTGCTGAGCTATTTGGCCAGCAGATTCAAATAAAGCAAGAGAAAATGACTAGTAAAGATTAGAATAGAAACCAGTGAAACAGGACACAAAAATAATAGAAAAATCACTAAGACTAAGAGCTAGTTGTATGGGAAGATCAATAAAGCAGATGAATCTCTAGTCAGACCGATGAAGAAAAAATTACACATTTTTAATGTGAGGAAAAGAGATGATACCATTACAAGATTTCCAGACATTCTAAGGATAGTCTGTGGGCTTTAAAAAATATAAACAAATCAATGCCAATACATTTGACAATCCAGGTCACAGAGATGAGGTCTTTGAAAGACACAAGCTATTAAAGTTGACTCATAAATAACTAGCATGGCATAATACCTCTTCAGGAAATTACATTTGAAAATCTTCAAAATTTTCCCACAAAAAATTACCAGCTTCACTGTGTATTCTGCCAAACATTTAAGGAAAAAGAATACTGATTCTATTTAAATTTTTCAGTACATTGAAAAGGAGGCAATATTGCCCAGTTCATTCTGAGGCTAGCATTACTGTTACACCAACACTGCATAAAGCTACTGCAAGAAATTAAAGCCATATATTAATATTCTTCATGAACATGGAGGAAATGTTGCTACAGTAAATTTTAGTAAATCAAACACAGCCATGTACAAAAAAATACACTGGGTTTAATCCCAGGAATGCAATTTTGGCTTAATATTTGACTATATTAATGGACCTGCAAAAGAGCAATCATATGATTTTGTCAGTAGATACAGAAAAAGCATTGATTGGGCCAGGGAGATAGCTTAGATGGTGCAAGGGCCTGAGTTCAATCCCTGGTTCCACCAAAAAAAAAAAAAAAAAAAAAAAAAAAAAAAAAAAAGAGAAAGAAAAAGAAAAAGCATTGATTGCTCTCAACCTCTTGGTAAAATTTCTCAACAACAAGGGAATTTTATCACTGTAACACTAGCCAATAGCTAGTTGGTAGCTCTCCCTAGGTCTCCAATCTCAGTTTCCTATTTTTATGTCCTCTCTGGATGAATTGTGCCAGGACATGTATTTTCCTGGACAAAGGTCATGTGAGGTATCAGTGCAGTGCACATTTTAATTTTGGGTTTCTTTGTTCCTATTTCTTTCTCCTTGTGGTGGCAGTGTCCTAATTTCCCTTCTGAGATCAGCTCTACCCGTTCTGTGGTGTGAAAAAACTCCTAACCTCAGGATTAGATTCGTGACACAGACTGGTCAACCAACATGATATGTGGGGCTTTTGCCAGAGGTCCTGGGGTGTAAGGTGATCCTGGCAGCAAGGGTATTATGAGCTTTAAGTTGGCGCAGAGGCTGAAAATAGCTAAACCTGGGCAATAAGGAAGAGAAAGAGAAGAAGAGGAACATATCTAGTGGTACCTGAAATATTTCTGAGATTTTGATACAAGGAGCCACTACATTTCCATTTTTTTGTTTGTTTGTTCAAATCAACTTGATTTGCAGTTTCTTATTACAGCTGAAAGTCCCAATCTTTGCTTTGGTCTTCTGCCCTCCCCACCTCCAAAGGTCTAACATCTGCTTGACATTTTGGATCTTATCACTTGTCTGGGAGAATAGTTACTGAACAGCCAAGTCTGGAAGCCTCTTTTTTTTTTGGTACTTGTGCTTTTCAGTCAGGTGCTATGCTACTGAGCTATATTCCCAGCAAGGAAACCTGTTTTGCCTTCAACTCCACCCTGCTCTTGTAGGTTTTTCAAGAGCTTGAACATAGATATGAAGAGAGGAAGCACACTAGTATTTACTATCCAAAGATGATCCTTTTTATTCCTTCTACTTCAAATCCTACACCATAGCATCATGGCTTCTATTTTTTTTTTCTTTTTTTAATGTTTAGACTTCATTTGAGCTCTGCTGTCTCCCAGGATAGGGATTCCATGTGAGAAAATAAGCTTTGAGTGCCCTGCAGAAGTTGGAAACTTCGGGCATTGCTAGTGTTTGAGTGAGACTTTCCCATATAAGGACTGCAAACTTGCATACCTGTGAGCCTAGACAGGGACACCTTATTGCTCACGAAACTCTCCAAACTGATGGACAGTACACATTGCACAGTCTTTGTCTCTTGGAATCTCTCCTGAGAATCTGTGAGGTTGGGCTCTGCATACAAAGCTACTGTTTTTTGCTTAACTGATTGATTGACTTATTAGGAGCACACTAAAATATTAGGGTAATCATACATCTGTTTAGAGCTCAAACGTTTACAAATTGCTTTCATATATGTCATCTCATGTTATCTTCCAAAGACCCAGGGTGAACCGTAGGCCAGCAACCATTAGGTCCTTTTAAAGGAAGAAACTGACTTAGAGTGGTGGCCCAAGATCCCATGGGTCAGAATGGGGTGCTACAGATGAAGCTGGGGGTTAGGTTATTTGACCCAAATTCAAGGAACTACCACCCTATAGGGTATTCTTTCTGATAGGTTAATCTAGAACTGACAAAAACATACAAGAAGTGTAAACCATAGTCTGACTGACAAAACTAGGACCACATACAGGAGAGGAATAGCTATGAAGGATACAAGTCAGAGCAGACTGCTTTTTTCAGAAGTTTTAACAAATAAAACCCATTATGGTGTCCCTCCTGTGTGTAACTGAAAGCCATAAACTATAAAATGAGACAGGACTTTCACTTAAGCTCTGATTCTAATAGTGTTTCCTTGTTTTTGAGACAAGGTCTCATTATACAGTGCAGGCCAAGGCTAACCTTGAACTCACTATGCAGTCTATGCTGGCCTTAAACTTGTGGTGATCCTCCTGCCTCAGCCTCCCAGGTAATAGGATTATAAGCGTGCACCACCATGTTCAACTTCAGTACTTCTTTTGAAACATTCAATATTGAATTTTTATAGAAGTGTTTTTTTTTTTCCTGCATCTTGATATACTTGTGGGCTTACCTAGTGTTTAGCTGGCTGGTTGGGTGGTTTAGCACAGCTGTAAGAAATATAAAGGCAGGAGTAGTTTGTGAACACATAGTAGGAGTTTCATTCCCCTTAGTGTACTGAATGCATAAGTACTTGACAAATTCTGATTGCTCTTGAGGTCACACTATCTTTTTTTTTTTTTTTTTTTTTTTTGGTGCTGGGGCTCAAACTTAGGACCTTACACTTGCCGGGCAGGTGCATATGCTGCTGAACTATTTCTCTGGACCGGGAACACTATTTTTAATTGAAACATTAAGAAACATTCCACCTAGTACTGAATCTGTTCCAGATTTGAAAATGTTTAGAGGCCATACGTTAGGGCTACTGGTTTAATGAATAATTGAGCTGTGGCATTAAACAGTTAGTTAAGATAATTAGTATCAATTTTGCAGAAGTCAGTTGCTCAGGCATTTGAAAAGATCCTTTAAGTCTGCAATTACATTTAGTGGCCTCATTTAGATACCGCTTCTCTGTAATAACCACTATGTTTTGCCTGAGTCTGCCCACTTCCACTTCATTATGTAATGAACTGCTGGCTAGGTGCACTTACCTGCCATGCCTCCACCTTCTTGATGTCTGCACAGGAGCTATTGGTGAAGAGCCCTCTCCCAGGTAAGCAGGTATATATGTCCTGCAGGGCATGCGCAATGGAGTAGACCGCTAAGTACACATTGTAGGATATTCGTAGATGTGTGTAATCCATGTAAGGCGTCTCAACACTGCTGATGTTCTCCTCCCCTGTACAGAGAGGCCGGAAGGCAGTGGAGCTATTGCTGAATTTGATGCCAACTTCTTCATGACCTCTCAGGAAGGTGTCCATAGGTAAAGGTCCTTTAGCACCTTCTTGGAGGTGGCAGTTAAATGTTTCTTCCCAAAACTCCTTGGCAAAACCATTGTGGACAGATTTCCTGGGATGGACTTTCTGCAGGAATTCCCGGAACCCTGGAATCTTCCCAGCCTTGAGAGCAAACCCAATAGTGCCTCCCACCACATGGAAGTACTGAGGCATGGCAATCAGGGAGGAGCTGGCCCATGCCTCGCTAGCCAGCCAGATCTTGCCCGTGATGTTGCGCCGGACAATCTCCTTGATGAGGGGCTCCAGGTCAGGGCCGCTGGAGAAAACGACGATGACCTTGGCTGTGGAATTCTGGATCACCTCCACCACGTGCTGGATCTCCTCCTCATCAGAGTACTGGGAGATGAGTTCGCTGAAGTCGATGCAGATGTCCCTCTCCTCAGCTTCCTCTCGGAACTTCTCAATGCCTGGCCGGCCGTAGTCGTCATCAGCCGCGATTGTGCCTACCCAGTTCCAGCGGAAATACTCGATAATGTCCGCCATGGCCGTGGCCTGGTGCTCATCGTTGGGGATGGTACGGAGGAAGGACTTGAACTGATTCTTGTTGCTGAGGAGTCTGCTGGAGGAGGCATAGCTGACCTGGAAAGAACCAAGATCGCAAAATGAATGAATGAAGGAGGAAGGGAGGTCCTGGCTGAGTCTCAAGGCTTTGGTAGAGGTCGTTGTTCTAGTGGAACGTAATCTCATTTCTCACACATGCTGTTCACTGTGGACAGAATAAAAGGACAAGGGAAACCAGGACGTGTTCCATCGCAGCACAAAAGCCAGCCACCGGTCAGCTTATGGAGGCACTGCTTGTTCCCATGACTCTTCATGACGCTACCTTCAAAAATGAGTCTAGCTGTGCAGTTAGCCCAGCAACAATGGGGTGCACTTACCTTTTCAGGGGCACCCCTTATGCACCCTTTTTTGTGTCTTCTAACTTTGTGTCACCTCACTGGTTATATCATATCCATGTACCCAACTTTTGCCTGCGTGGCTGGTGTTCTGATCTCAACATGATGGCTTCTCCTTACTATGATGAACACTTTGTCAGTGAACTACCTCTGATGGAGTTGCCTATGAGTTATGGACTCAAGGCTCTTCAGAAAAGCTCCAAGGATTTCCTTTCCTGGTCTGCCCAGTTCCCCTCTACCCGTCATCCTCCCGACGTTCCCTGTCCCTACACTTCTGGTAAAAGTAATCTCAATTACAGTAATTTCTGAAAGCCGTTTGTCTCCATCAGCCTCTTTAGGATCACTAGGCTCAATTCCCTGTATTACAAAAACAATGAGCATCATTCAGTATTAGAAAAACATTCTTTCGGGGCCCGGGAGATGGCTCAGTAGAATAAGTGCTTGCCTGGCAAGCGCAAGGGTCTGAGTTCAAGCCCCGGTTCCGCAAAGAAAAAAAAAAAGAAAAGAAAAGAAAAGAAAAACATTCTTTCCTTCCCTGACTCCTTTGTGGTTCAACAACAATTCCAAGCAATTTTCTTTGTTCAACTGCCTGTGGTGGCTGAGGCCACTTGACAAGCAGCCCTTCCAAACCCTACAGAGGCTGCAAAGCAACCCTGGAGAAGCCACACTATTTTCCCACTATGTAGGGTGCAGGCAGTTCCACCTCTGTGCATGGGTGTGCACCGCTAAGGAGAGAAAGCTGCGTATTTGGTATTAAAGAGAGCTTTGCTAAAGAAGTGGCCACATCTCACTAGCAAACACAGGGCTCCCAACTTTTTTCCTTATCATGGCACAGAGGATGGGCTAAATGGGGGACATGGGTTATTCCTGGTGGATATGCTCTGACTCCCTCATGCCCACGTGGCCGCCTCAGGGCTTGAGAATATCAGAATCTTTGGGGAGACATTGGTTGGCCTGTGGGCTGTGCTGTGCTCACCACAGCTCACCGCTGGCTGGGAAGTTCAAGTTATTGGACCATCTATTCTGAAGAACAAGACACTTTTACTGTTCATGAAATTTCTTCTAGGAAATGAAATACTGTTTCCTATCTCTTATTCTTCAGTTTTCTAGAGAGTTTCCAAACTTCAGAACACAAGTGGAAGACATTAGGGGGATAGTTTTTTAATACTTTTTCTTCCCCCATAGGTAACCAGAACCTTTCATTTTATTACTTGGGTGCATAATGCAGAGGTAATAGGTGCTGCAGCAGCTAGGAGAGGTTAATAATTCTTGCCAGGTGAAATAGCTAGTTTTGTATTTAATGCTTTTAAATAGAAATATCCAGTGTGCTTTTTTCCCCTAAATCAATGAATAGTATTAGGCAATAAAAACATAAAAGGGATTGATTTGTGAAAGAACTGATCCAAATTTGCTAAAAGAGAAGCACGATTTTTCTCACAATTTTTTTTTTTTTTTGTATTTGGTACAGGGTCTACGGGGTCTCACTACATAGATCAGACTTGTAGTGATTCTCCTGTTTTCAGCCTCCCAAAGAGCTGGGATTACAGGCACATACCACCATGCCCAGTTTCAGAGTGCCCCAGGGGCATGGCCGGCATGGCAGGCCGGGATCCAACCCTGGCCTCTGCATCTGACTAAACAGATGCTTTAATCTGCTGAGTTATTTGGCCAGCCCACTCTCACAAGATCCTTGATTTCAGGAGATATAATTGGAAATATATATATATATATATATATATATATATATATATATATTCAGAGTAAGCCCTTCTTGCTTTACCATACAAGTTCATGAGGTGGGTGGTTAGGTTAAGTAATTTGTTTAGATGTTGTTGGTTTTTGAAAACTCAGTTTATAAAGTCAAATAATAGTCTTTTGAATCATATTTTTGCTAGCACAAAATCTATTATTTTGTAGGCAAAATCACATCTCTGTTACCCTTACATTTTTTCTGTTACTCTTAGGTCCATCCATGATTACTTGCTTCTTGATTTTCATTTGAAAAATTGACCAAGAAAAGTTTTAAAGCAATCAAAAGTAAAAATGCCTCTTATGAATATGTACTTCTGAAGAAGGAATTTATAATATTTGACCAGTTTTCAAATGGCAACCTATAAAATGGGGTAAACACTTTCTTCCTCCCTCTCCAAAGAACCCTTAGAAACACAACAATTTTCTGGTAAGAGAAGATTTTCACAAATGATTCAGAAAACTATTCTAACTGTGGTTTCTTCCAGCCGGACTACTTTGTCCATCCACTTGGTGGCGTGACTAGCACAGGAAACATCACTGGGCAACTGGCCCCTCCCTGCAGGACAGTGGTTCCCAGCCCTGTTGCACAAGAGAATCCTCTGGAGAGCTTGCAAAGCTCCTGGGCCAGGCTGTATCTCAGCTCAATTAAACCATGATCTCCAGGAGTGGGAACTGGTTTTGAGTATTTTACAAGGCGAAAGATTAATACAATGTGAAGTCAATCCAAAGTAGGACATGAGTATCTTAAAAACTCCCTAATTGACTACAACTGGTAGCCATGGCAGAGAACTACTCCTGTCGACAAACTGATATAAGTTTGATGATCATTAATGTCTTCTCAGTATTTCTTTAATTGAAATCTAACTTTACCTTATCTTTCATTTAAACCTTGCAAAAGGAAGACTCTCCCTTTCATGTTCTTTTTGTACTAGATGACAGTTACCTGTTATGCTTGTTGGCCAAGGGGTACCAACTTATTTTAGCTGTGTATTTAAAATAATGTTGCACACTCTGCTAAATTTAAACATGCCTGAGACATTTACTAATGTAGGTTTTGTCGAATCAGTCTGGTACAAAAGTTAAAGGCCAGGGCTTCCCCATGGGGAACACCTTTAATTCTCTGAAGTAAAGATTTAGTAAATGATGGAAAGGCTTTACTGTTGTCGCACGTGCCTAAAAAGATAATGACTGTCACCAAGAGTCTTCCCAATGGAGAAATGTGAACTTGCTAAAGATACACTTATAATACAAATGTCGAATATTAAACATTGAAAAAATAAATTTAAAGGATAATTTATGATTTAATTTAAAATTTTAGATTGCAGTACATTGAGCTCCATAGAGACAGTGCCGGGGCAAGTGAGAGCCAGACAGGCACTGGGTGACTCTGTACCTCACTGAGGAAAACAAGTAAACATAGGCAAAGGAGATCCTAAGAAGCCGAGAGGCAAGATGTCATCATATGCATTCTTTGTGCAAACTTGCTGAGAGGAGCACAAGAAGAAGCACCCAGATGCTTCCGTTAACTTCTCAGAGTTTTCTAAGAAGTGCTCAGAGAGGTGGAAGACCATGTTTGCCAAAGAGAAAGGAAAATTTGAAGATATGGCAAAAGCAGACAAGGCTCATGAAAGAGAAATTAAAACTTATATTCCCCCTAAAGGAGAAACAAAAAAGAAGTTCAAGGATCCCAATGCCCCCAAGAGGCCTCCTTCGGCCTTCTTCTTGTTCTGTTCTGAGTATTGCCCAAAAATTAAAGGAGAACATCCTGGCCTCTCCATTGTTGATGTTGCAGAGAAACTTGGAGAAATGTGGAATAATACTGCAGCAGATGACAAGCAGCCATATGAGAAGAAGGCTGCTAAGCTGGAGGAAAAGTATGAAAAGGACATCGCTCCCTACCAGGCTAAAGGAAAACCTCAAGGAAGCAATGCTCTCAAAATCATTCCTGGAGCATTATACTGATACCAAAACCAGGGAAAGACGCAATGAAGAAAGAGAACTACAGGCTGATCTCCCTCAATAAAATGCCAAAATCCTCAATAAAATCCTAACAAATAGAATACAGCAAATCATCAAGAAGATCATACATCATGACCAGGTAGGATTCATCCCAGGGATGCAAGGATGGTTCAATATTTGAAAAATCTATAAATGTAATACATTATATCAATAGAGCGAAAACTAAAAACCACATGATCATCTCCATTGATGCAGAAAAGGCTTTTGACAAAGTCCAACACTCATTCATGTTCACAGTCCTACAGAAAATTGGAATA